CCATCATTTACCCATCCATCCACCCACCCATCCATCATCCACTCATCCACTACCCATCATCTATTCATTATCCACCCACCCATCCATCATCTATGCATGCATGCATCCATCCTTCCCATCCATCCATCCAGCCACCCACTCACCCACCCACTTATCCATCATCCATATGCCATCTGTCCTTTTCTTCATCCATCCATCTATTTCATTTTTGCCTTGTATTTTAGGGTTAAGAATATGTAATGACATTTTCTCTCTTCTCTCTCATAGTAACTGTCCCTGTTACATACTTGCACATACCCAAACACACCTGCATGTAAAGCACATACATACAACACACACGTTACTCATGTCCCAATCCCACACACGCATGCTTCATACACAGAGCCACATGTGCACACATAGAGAACACCATCCACAATCCCTGTGCGCCCACTACAACCCAGCTCTCTTTGCCCATGTGAGCATTCACAGCAGACCCTTGAGACCAGGGAGGGAAGCCCCAGAGACCTGGCAGCTCCACACGCCATATGCCGACCCTTTCCACCTTCACCACTCTTCTCCCCCAAGATCAGCCCCCCCCAAGTGAATGAGAGTCCTTCTGGAGTGTGAGGGCTGGTGGTGAGCAAAGCCCACCAGACTGTCCTCATGTGGCAGGGACTGTCACCATGATCCTCAGGGCCAGCCCTTTGGAACTGTTGGTTGAAAAATACCCCCAGGAGGTTCAGCTAGATAGAGTGAAAGGAGTGACATTGATCAGGATGCGTTGTACACATAAGTTGGCGTGCTGAATTGGAACCCTTTTGTGCAACTACTTAAGGGTAGTAAAAAAAAAAAAAAAAGAAGAAGAAGAGACAAGAAACAAGGCCCCCAAGCAGCACAAAGGTGCATATGCGGGGCAGCCACAGGGACACAGGGTAGCCTACACAGCTTCCTGCGTGGGCCTGTGCACCTGTGAGCAGTCACCATTTCAATCCTCTCCCAAGGCCTCGTCACCTAAGGCCATGTGGGCTCACCTGCTGCACGTGAAGTTTTAGCCTGGCCCTGAGGAGCTGGGCAGCAGGGGTTAAAAGCATCAGTTCTGACATCCCATCCACTGGAGACATCCCGGATTCTACCTGGCTCTGTACATACAGCATCCATCCTATGCATGGCTTGGGTTTGAGTTGCTTAAGTTTTGAGGACATCAGTCCCCTTATCTGCTAGGGGAAGAGTAGGTCCCGCCTTCAGTGCATCTCGTAGGAGATGCTTTGAGCAGGGGGCCCGGCATGGTGTGGATGCTCATAGGTTGTTGTTGCTGCTGTTACTTTGGCTTCTGCCCCAAACTCCCATGTGCCCTTTGGGAGGAAGTGCAGCCTTAGCTCTGGGGTTTGTGTGATGAGAGGAGGAGGATGGATGGCAACTATGTCACTAACTAGATGCTTCTCCAATGCAAAGCCCTCATTATCCTACACGCATATTCATAAAGGACGGCCTCAGCCCTGTTCTGTAAATGGGTCAGAAGCAGGAAGTGGAGGCCAGTGCAAAGAGCAAGGCCCCGGGAACAGGAGGCGCACAGCAGCAGCAGCACATCTGAGTCCTCATGGATGGGAGGATGGTGAGAGCAGACGGGGGAACGAAGGGGTTGGGAGAAGCTGGGAGTACTGAGGGACTGGGCATGGTTAACTTCCTATATTGTCAATTTGAAGTAAGACCCAGTGATATCAGAGTAGAGAAGCCTTGGAGCACATTGTCCGTGGAACCACACCTCTTTTCACTGGGGGTTGGGGAGCTGAGTCTAGGTGGGATGATGGCACAGGGAAGATAAGCCAAATGATCCTCGTGCGTTTCTCTCAATGCATATAGTTTATATGGCATTGAGGAGAGGATCTGAATCCTTGAATCTTAGTCTTTCAGTGAGGCTCAGAGAGGTTGTTGTGGTCACACAGCTGCGGATTGTGGTTCTGTCCTTGGTGGTATAAGAGACAGAGTTATTCTGGCCCTGTGCAGGAGGCTCCAGGACTGGAAGAAATGAGCTGGCCATTGCTGCTACGCAGTGAAGCCTCTTCATCTATTTTCTCACATCCTCTCCTCAGTAGTCTCCAGATCAGCTAGAGCAAAAATGATTATCTCTCTTTTACAGATGAGAAGCGTGAGGCTGAAGGAGGCGGAAGAGCCACCAGAACCACGCTACACAGTGAGTGGCGTACAGTGCTGAGCGGTGGTGATGGGGCTGTGGGAGCTCAGCTGTCCTGGGTCTCTGGCAGGGATAAGGCCAGGACCACGGCAGCGCATGGCCCTGGTGTCCTCTGAAAAATAACCTAAAACCAGAAGAAATTTCTCTCTTCTCGGTCCTTTTAGCCCTTCCCTCCTTTCTTAGAATGTGTTTGCTCACAATTGCTCTTTGAGATTGGAAGGAATAACCAGCCTTACTTCAGGGGAGGGGTGGAGGTAGGAGAGGGGATGCATTCCCCAGGACGGCATAGGCTGTGGGAGGAAGGGTGGAACAAGAAGCCCAGGTGTTGCCCCTCTGGGCATTTTTAAAATAACTTTTAAAATTGTTATTATAAAGGTGATGTACAAAAGGGTTACAGTTACCTAAGTCAGGTAGTAAAGTGCATTTCTCTTTGGACAATGTCACCCCTTTCCACACTCTCTTCGTTTTTCCCCCCAATCTCCACCCACAATTTGTATAGTTCATTTCCTACATAGTATCTATTGAGTGCCACTGCTGCATTTGTCCTTCCTCTGTCCTCTGGGCATTTTTGTGACTGGACATGGATGGGGAAGGGCTTCTGGGTAGAGAGCTCAGGGAAGTGATCAAAGGAGCTGGCCCAGGGATGGGGCTCTGGAGGGCTCGCCTCAGCATGGGGGACTGATTGGGTAGCTGGTGGCCATGTGGAAGCTGTTTTCGCAACCATTATAGCAGAATCAGGAAACTGAGCTGGTGTACTGCCCTGTAGACTGTAGAGCCTGAGCTATGTCCAGGGCAGCGTAGGACAATAGGGCAACCAGCAGTAAAGCAGATGACCCATGGGCAACTCAAGTCTCCTAAGGACTGAAGAATTGCTGAGCAGAAAGAGAGAAGGCTGAAACTTATCACCTCCATTTTCCAAGAGGCTGTGAGGGATAGGCCTTGGGGTCTGAGGTCACAGCTACACTGGGTGGGTGGGGGGGGGGGTAGGCATACAGCTCTGCCTCTGACTGTGTGGACTTCAGCAGTGATAAGAAATACTGTAATCACAGCCAGGGTTTGGTCAGTGCTCAGTTTACCCATAGGATGTCCTTTCTTTGAGACTTAGTTTCTTCATCTGTAGGTTAGGGTGCAGAACTCATCTACTTCTCGGGGCAGTTGTAAGGCTTGGGTGGTGCCAAGAAAAAGGTGGTGACACTTTCTCAAGTATGGTGGGGACTTGAGTTATTTATGAGGCCTCATAAAGCTCCTGTTGTTCTGGAGACAGAAGGAAAGCAAGAGGGGATCCATTCATTCCTCTGGCCAGAGGGACCAGGTAGTGACTGGTGGTGGTGGCTGTAGTTCTCTTCCTTGAAAACATATGTAACATAAGCAAGTTTTTGAAGGGGTCGAAGGGGGATAAGAAGAAGGACTTCATGATCACAGCTTTATGTAAGCAAAGGTATGGGGGAGGGAAAGTATAGGCTGTGCTTGGGGAACAGTCCTGTCACAATTAATGGCCTAGGCTGGTGCCCCATGAATCATGGAAGGAAGCAGTCAGGCTGGATCTTTGGCTCCTAGGGCTAGCTGTGAGGCACCTAGATTCCTTCCCCAACATTATCCAGTCTAGAGTTGGAGGAGAGGGCTGGAGGCAGAACTAGAGTAATTACACAGCCCAGCTGCTCAGTCTCTCCCACCTATCTGGAGGGGTGAGGCTCTGCCAGGAAACACTCTTCCCACCTCCCTTCCACCCCACTTCCCTTCATCCCAGCTTAGCTAAGGCCCAGGGTTTGGGCCCAGGGAGTGAGGAGTCATGGAGCATGGCCGGGGGGAGCTTGTGGCCCAAGGCAGGCTGGTTGAAGTCATTAGAGTTTGAGCAGGTGGATAGAGGGGTAATGATTTGAAAGACTGTGAAGTAGAAGTCTTAGAAGGGACAGAGACCATGGTGGGGCCTAGATCAGGTGCTTAGATGCATCAAGAATCTGATTGGGGGTCTGGGTCAAGTGGTAGAGTGCTAGCCTTGTGTGTGGGTGTGTGTGCATGTGTGTGTGTGTGTGTGTGTGTGTGTGTACTGGGGCTTGAACTTAGAGCCCCTCACTCTTGATTGACTTCTGCTCAAGGCTAGTCCTCTACCACTTGAGACACACTGTTACTTTTCTACTTCCAGCATTTTTTATTTTTTACTAGTTAAGTGGAGATCAAGAGTCTCAGCCTCCTGAGCAGCTAATATTATAGGCATGAGTCACTGGTGTTTGATTATAAGTAAGAAAGCTGAGGGAGAGCGCGAGGGCCCGAGCTCAAGAATCAGCAAGCACATGCTGGCCCAGGAGCCTCAGTGAGGTAAGTACCCCAGCCTTGCCGCAGGAAAACGGAGGCTCAGACGGTGACATGACCTACCCACGTTTCTTATCCAGTCGGTCATCATTCAACATGCTGTTGCGCAGAGGCTCTATGTCAGGGGCTAAGGAGTCAGCGGTGACCACTTCTTGGATTCTGCACCTAGGGACCACAGGGGTCACTTGTGGGAGCCCAAGCCCAGGTCTATTTCCAAATTCCCGCTTTGGATCACTCTCTGAGCCGGACCAGGGAGGTCGGGACCGCTGAGACTCACCCTTCCTACGGTACCGCCCCGCCTACCTGCCCAGGTGGGTCTGGCAAGCCGGAAAGTCTAGGCCGGCTCGGCTTGGCCAGGTGGGGGGCGTGTCCTTCCAAGGGGCGTGTCCTGTGCGGGGAGGGCGTGGCTTTGCCGGGGCGGGGCGGGGCGGGGCGGGGCCAGGCCCTGGGAGCTCCAGCGCTGGCGGACACAGGAATCCGGCGCCCGGCTCCCGGCTCCCGCGCCCGGCGCCCCGCACCCCGCGTCCCGCGCCGCCGCCATGGGCGCCTGCCTGGGCGCCTGCTCGCTGCTCAGCTGCGTGAGTCCGCACCTGCGACCCTGTCCCCGCTGCGGCCCCGCACTTTCCTCTTCTGTTTCTCCCAGTAGTTCCTTTCCCTGCCTCCGAACTTGACTTTCCGCGTCCGCACCCGCCTCCGCGTCCCCGGGACCCTTCTCCGCCCGGCGCCCCGCCGCCACCCCGCTCGCTCCGGGCGCGCGGCCGCCTGGACAGCTGGTGTCGCCGCTCGGGTTACCGCGGGGGAGGGTGTGGCGCTCGGGCCGGGCGGGCCGGGCCGCGGCGGGCGCCCCTCCTGGGAACCGGGGATCCGAGGCCTGGGGGCGGATCGGAGGGGCGCTGCGCCCGCGCCCCCGCCCGCCCGACTTGGAGGGGCTTCGGGGTGCGCCTCTCCTCTCTCCCCCGGACGCTCTGACTCTTTGTGTGCTGCCTTATCTCCGCCCTTGTCTGCTGCGTCCCTCTTTCTTCCCTGTCTGTCTGTCTGCCAGTCGGTCTGTCCCCATCCATCTGACTTAATTTGACGATTCAGCTGGTGCCGTACTTGTCTCGGGGATCGGGGGCTGTCGGTCCGTCTGCCCATCGTCTCTCAGTCTCTGTGCAGCCTGGTCTGCTTGGCGAAGTCCGACCAGGCTGACTCTTGGCCACTTAACTTCTCCAGCAAGCGCTGGACCCTTCCCTCTTGGCCCCTGGGCTGGGCTGGGTGGGCTGGGGTGCGGTTGTCAAAGACCACCTGGGCCAAACTTTAGGTTTGGAGATCCAGGAATCAGGACGGTTTGGGGGTGTGCGTGCCTGGTGTCCTGTGTTGGAGACATATCGAGGGGGCGCGGGTGGGGAGCCAGATCTGTTTTGGGGCAGCAGCCAGCATTGAGGAGCTCGAGCCAGACCCCGGCTGCGAGGCCCCCTTTCCTTTCCCTTTTCCCCTCATTAAATCTGAGGTTCATTCAGGCAGTTCCCTCCCCTCTCTGGCCCCACACAAAGAGGGGTGGGAGGAGCTGAGACGGGGCTCCCCCGTGTCTGCCATAGGAAAGCTTAGGACTTGCTTTCCTTTGTCCCGGATTTGTGTGTGGTGGGAGGGGGCTTGCAGGCCCGCCAGAGCAGGAGGGGGCTTGCAGGCCCGCCAGAGCTGAGGATCTAGAGTTTTTCTTTGTAGCCATTTTCTGAGAATGATCTCAGCCTAAGGGAGGCTGTAGAATGGGAGGGGGGGGGGGAGGGGACCCCTGGGCACATTTCTGGTCCTCTCTGGATCTCTAGTCTGTGAATTATGTGTGGAAGAGGAGGAAGGAGGGAGGAAGAAAGAGGGAAGAAGGAGGAAGAGGAGAATGAGATGGAAAAAGAGGAGGAAGAGAGAGAAGAGGAGGAGGATCATCTGGTGCCTGAACCCCCCTCCCTGCCCAGGTCCTGTTGTACCGCAGCAGAACTTCCCACAGTCCACCAGATTCCCATCTGGTCCTGCCTGGCCTGGAAGGGTGGGTGGTTCGTGATGGTGGGGTCTGAAGAAGGACCTACCAATCCCCTGTGGCTGTGGGCTCCCACTCCTGCCCTAGTTGAGCGGTTTGCAGTGCCGTCCTGAAGATGCTATAAGAAGATGTGCAAAGTGCTGGCCCGGCTCCTGCTGGCCTACATTGAGTGCTCTCTCTATGTGGGAGCTGCCATCCTGGAGAATTCCATCTGGAGAATACAGAGCCCTGTGCTAAGTGTGGATCTCTCAGATCAGAGAGGCCTGGAAACTCTCCATGTACACGGAGGGAAACAGCCCTTGAACTTAACTCACTTGCCTTAGGGTGGAGAGGAACTGCAAAGACAGGATTAGACTGAGATTTCCTCTTCCAGGCTGCTGCCCTCACCTCTTCTCCTTCTCCACACGTTGGGGGGGGGGGGGGAATGGAGGCGGGCTACTGGCCCAGGATAGAACTAGAGGCACTGAGCCTTTAGTATCTGCAAGGAGCCCATCTCCCCTTTTTGTGCCCTCTCTTTGGAGTTCTGACCTCTGACATGTACAGGTCTGGCTCTGCCCCAGCCCTGTGACGTCATTGCCATTTTACAGATGACCATATCAACAATGATCATTGACTCTCTCCTTCCTATAGACCCAGCACTTAGAGCATTGAGCCCTTCTATGGGCCCAGCGCTGCTGTGAGCACTTTATACAGGGTCTTTTCATTTGACCCTCACAAAGACTTCAAGAAGGCAGTTCCTAGTAGCTAGGATTACAGGTGTGAGCCAGTATTGCCTGGCTTTTTAGCCTTTTTTTTTTTTTGTTAGTCGTGGGGCTTGAACTCTGGGCTTGGGCGCTGTCCCTGCGCTCTTCAGCTCAAGGCGAGTGCTCTACCACTTGAGCTACAGTGCCACTTCTGGTTTTCTAGTGGTTTATTGGAGATGAGAGTCTCACCGGAGTTTCCTGCCTGGGCTGGCTTTGAACCGTGATCCTCAGATCTCAGCCTCCTGAGTAGTTAGGATTACAGGCTTGAGCCACGGGCGCCAGGCCTGCTTAGCCATTTTTAAGTATGTGGTTGAATGGCATTAAATACCCCACAGTGTTGAGCAAGCATCAGCACCACCCTTCCAGTCCTGTGCCATCTTCCGTTACACAGTTACTCCCGGTTCTTCGTTACGCAGATCCCCCTTTCCTGCCAGGAGATTAGATGACTCAGGTTCAATCTGAAGTGGTCTTTTCTGCTTGGTGAACATCACTTATCATCACATCATGTCCTCAATGTTCCCGCATTTTATAAAACGTGTCAGAACTTCCTTCCTCTTTAAGAGTGAGTAACAGTCCATTGTATCTCTCAACCACATTTTGCATTTGCATCCACCAATGGTCTTAAGAGTTGTTTCTCTCTTTTGGCTCCTGTGAACAAAGCTGCTGCAAGCATGTATGTGTACATATGTTTGTGTCTCTGCTTTGGAGATATATATCAAAGTGAAGGCATACTTTGTTTTATTTTAAACACAACTCAATGCAGTGGCCCAGCCCAGAGTTGCCTCTCTTACTTTACTCAGTGACTCAAGACTGGTTCTGAGAACCGGAGTCACTGGCTCCAGAGATGGTCAGGAGAGGATGAATGACACAGTGACCCTGTTCCACTGTGCCAAGCCCCTTGCTCGGCTCCAGACCGCCCAGTTTGCAAGGGGAGGTTGTCGCTGGCAGAGTACCAACAGCAGAGGATGGCAGGCAGCTTTCTGGGTGAATCTTCATTGCACAGAGATTGAATTGGTTAAATATTAAGAAATCTTGCAGCCCCCAAGCTCCCAGATCCAGGATTGCTTAAGTTCTGAGTTCTCCTTTGTGAGAACCTGGGCTGGCATGTAGGGTCAGTAGCTGTTGATGTTCTGAACTTTTCCGCTGCTGCCGCTCCTCCCTCAAGTGCTGGTGTAAAGGGGCTGGGGGCTGGGAGGAAGCTGGAAGGGGCTGGAATGCTCACATCCTGTTTGTGCTCTGTCTGGGGCTTTCTCACTGCCATAAGTTCTGCCATCTCAGGACGTCTGTCCTGCTCACCTCTAACCACTCTCAGGAGTGAGAGGGCTTCCACTGCCCCTGGGTGATGAAGATGAAGGTTATTTGCAGTTGCTACAGATTCCAGTAAGTTCACAAAACTTAGAGTTTTATGCCTATCTTAGTATTTTCCTCGCTATTTTTTTTTTTTGTAAAATCATCTTCATCAAGAGAGAGTTAATTTAATTTAGACGTAGGTCCATGTATTTCAGTTATGTGTTGTCTGCACTGGCACCGTGTGTGTGTGTGTGTGTGTGTGTGTGTGTGTGTGTGTGTGTGTGTGTGTGTGTGCGTGCGTGCGTGCGTGTGTGTGTGTGTGTGTGTGTGTGTGTATGCATGCCAGAAAAGCCCCCATTGTAGGTACGACGATGCACAGATGGGCATTTAGCTTTCAGCACCCTGGCTATTTCCCATCATGCCTAGTGCCACAGGGCACTTCCGTGTATTTGGGTGGCTCCCCTTCCCTCCCCTCCCCCTGGCTAGTGTGTGAGTGTGTGTGAGAGTGAAAAGTCGCAGGAGCTGTTCCAAGTGCGTGAACTTTGCTCTGCCAGGAGCTTTTTTTTCTTTCTTTTTAAAAAAATCTGTGCTGGTCTCTGGCTCCTGATTAGGCCCTGGGAGATCCTCAGGTTTCAGGTATCAGGAACACCTGCATTTGGATCCCTAAGAACCAGAGTGGATTGAAAAGGCTAAGCTCCCTGAATACAGGGCAGCTTTCTCCTCTCAAATTGGAACAGTAACAAGCTAGAGTCAGGGCCTAACTAGGGTCAGTTTTCCTGTGGCCTCCAGGCTTTCTTCTGGCCTAGGAAGGATCTTCACCTGAGGTCTTTTTGTTTTTTTGTTTGTTTGTGTCTGTAGGTCCTAAGCACTGTCTTTGAGGTCTTTTTGTTCAAGGCTAGAGCTCTATCACTTAGAACCACGCTGCCACTTCTGGATTTCTGGTAGTTAATTGGAGATAAGCGTCTGCGTGACTTTCCTGCCTGAGCTGGCTTTGGATTGTAATCCTCAGATCTCAGCCTCCTGAGATAGAATTACAGGTGTGAGCCACCAGCACTCAGTAGTTTAGTTTTTGTTTTGTAATGAAAACGACTGCTGTCAATGGGTTCTTGGCCTGGGAAGTGGTGTAGCTCTGTGGACGGAGCCAGGCCCTCGCAGCCCTCAGAACTGAGCTGGGATCCTGGCTCCTCAGCTTCCTCACTCGACGATGCTCCTTTCCCCTTTAGAAGTCTGCTTTCCCAGCAGTAAGTATGACACAGAGTCAAGGTATAATTTAGATATCGTTGGATATAGCTTATTTTACTTGAAGTTTACTGTTCTTTTTTTTGGTATGTGTGTGTGTGCCACTACTTGGACTTGAACTCAGGGCCTTACACTTGCTCTGCTTGTTTGCTGGGCTGGGGCTCTACCCCTTGAACCCTACCTCCAGCCGTGCCTTTTGCTGGTTAATTGGAGATGGAGTCTCTAGTCCCTCTCTGCCTGAGTGCCTTTAAGCTGTGATCTTTCAGCTTTCAGCAGCCAGATTAGCTGGGATCACAGGGTAACCACTTGCACCCAGCTCAGTCCTCCTGTTCTTGACTTGCTGAGTGATTTTCTTTCTTTCTTTTTTTATTTTTACGGAGATCTGAACTCAGAGTCTTGTGCTGAGTGCTCAGCCGTTTGAGTCACACCCTCAGCCCTCCCCTCCCTTTTTTTCCCTTTAGTTATTTTCCAGATAAGATCTGGTGCTTTTTGCTTGATTGGATTGGGAATTCCTACCATCCCCCTACCTGCACCTCCCAAATTGCTGGGACTACAGGTGTGAGCTGCTCCTCCCCAGCCTCTCAGTGCTGGTGTGCTGCCTGGTCGCAGTGGTCTGGCTCCCTCAGCTGGCCTCACCCCATCACTTGAAGCTCTCCTCCAGCTCATGAAGCCCCTGCCACCATGGCCCCCCTCCCCTTCTCCCAGTGCCCAGCTACTGCCACCCAAAGTCCCCTCAGTGGGACCATTCTCTGCCTTGCTCAGGGGCTCTATGTCTCCCTCCAGGTCTCTTAAGTACCTAGGGGAGGACTGGGGCAGTTTGTGGTTGGTTTGTAAGGGCTGGGCTGTGGATGGGCCTGCAGAAGGGGGAGTCGTGTTCCCCAGCCCCCACTGGCTGTGAATAGTGGGGCTTCTTCAGCGACTCACCTGCTTGACCACACCCTGGTCAGAGCTGAGGCAGAATGGGCCACCTACTGGAGAGGGGAAGTGCCTAGACCGCCACCTGCTGTCCAGAACTGGTATAACCCATGGGAAATGACGGCTCAGGTTTCTCACTCATTCAACAGATGTCTAGTGAGTGCTTGCTGATTTTTAAGGTCTTAACTTGCGTCTGGTTCTATGACAGATTCTTCCATTCAACAGGTAGCCCATGAGTCCCTACTGTGAACCAGGCACTCAGCTTCTGAGACGAGCACAGTGAGGAAAAAACAGACAAAAATAGGGAATACAAAGCCTATCAAACAAGAGGAAAAAAAACCAAGCAGTGAAGGGACAAGCTCTCTCTCCATCTCAGAACTGCCCTATGAAGAGTAGGTTCTTCAAGGGCCTCAGTTTTATAGAAGAAGAAATAGACTCAAGAGAGGTTGTGCAAATTGTATAATATTGTATAACGTTCAGTTTCAGAACTGGCCTCTAATTTTTGTCTTTTGGTCAGTCATAGGCTTGAACTCAGGGCCTGGGTGCTGTCCCAGAGATATTTTGCTCAAGGCTAGCACTCTACCACTTTGAGCCACAGCACCACTTCCAGTTTTCTGGTGGTTAATTGGAGATAAGAGTCTTACAAACTTTCCTGCCCAGGGTTGGCTTTGAACCATGATCCTCAGTGATCAGCCCATGAGTAGCTAGGATTACAGGCATGAGCCACTGGAGCCTGGCTTCTTTTTAAACTCCTTCCCTCCCTCCCTCCCTCCCTCCCTCCCTCCCTCCCTCCCTCCCTCCCTTCCCTCCCTCCCTCCCTCCCTCCCTCCCTTCCCTCCCTCCCTCCCTTTCCTTCTCTGGTAGCATTTAGATCTGAACTCAGGGCCTTGTGCTTGCTACCACTTGAGCTATACCTCCAGCCTGAGTCTGTTCTGTCACTAGCTTGTGGTCTTATGTGACTCAGTTTCCCCCTCCAGCTTGAAAGGAACATGGGCATCATCTGGGGAAGACCGCTCTCACCAGCTCAGCCAGGCTTGAGATGCTGCCCAGGCAGGGCGGGTCCGGCAGAGAGTGACCCCGGTGCTGCTGTCGCCCCATCCTCCGCAGGCCTCCTGCCTCTGCGGCTCTGCCCCCTGCATCCTGTGCAGCTGCTGCCCCTCCAGCCGCAACTCCACTGTGAGCCGCCTCCTGTTCACCGGCTTCCTCTTCCTGGGCGTGCTGGTCTCCATCATCATGCTGAGCCCGGGGGTGGAGAGTCAGCTGTACAAGGTGAGCAGCCTGCTGTGGGCTTTTGGGCTTAGCTGCTCCAGACTGGAAAGTGGGGCCTAGCAGTCAGGGGGAGGTGGTGGGAGTGGAGGAGCCCAGGTTCTCCTAGGTCACAGCCTCCTTGGAAGATCCTCCGTTATCACTGCCTCCTGGATGCCAGCCAGGAGCTGCTTCTCCCCAGGAGTGGCCATATCGGGGTCCTGACTGTCCCCTTCATCCCAGTGTCTCCCCACCTGGCCCTGCCCCAGGACATGCTTAGGGAGGCAGCCATGTGTGGGATGAGGATCCCAGGAACCTGGCTTCGTCCTAGACCGAGGTTCCAATGTGACTCCATTTTCCCCAAGCCCTCAGTGGCTTTGACACAGGCAGTGGGGCAGACACAACTCTAGGAAGCCATGCCAAACAGTCTAGCAGGCCTGGGGTGACCCCAGGGATAGGTAGCTGGGAACAAGGCAGGTGGGCGGGAGGAGGTGGAGGGTGGGGTTGAGCGGGGCTCAGCCCTACGGAGAGCTGCAGGGCTCTGGGTGGGGTGGGGGGACCTCACGCAGCTCTGTTGTCTCCACAGCTCCCCTGGGTGTGCGAGGATGGGGCCCAGACCCCCCTTGTTCTGCAGGGCCCCCTGGACTGCGGCTCCCTGCTGGGCTTCCGCGCAGTCTACCGCATGTGCTTCGCCACCGCAGCCTTCTTCTTCCTTTTCGCCTTGCTCATGGTGTGCGTGCGCAGCAGCCGGGACCCCCGGGCCGCCATCCAGAATGGGTGAGGGGCCCTCCTCCTGCCTGGCACCCTCCCCCAGTGGCTCTCCTTCCCTGCCTGTCTCCAGAGGTCCCTAGACCCTGCCCGTAGATGTGAGCTATGGAACCAGGGGTTATGCCCATTACTCAGACTGGGAAAGAAAGCTCAGGCCAGCACCAGCGGCTCACGCCTGTAATCCTAGCTGCTCAGGAGGCTGAGGTCTGAGGATTGTGGTTCAAATTCAGCCCAGGCAGGAACATCGGTGAGACTCTTACCTCCAATCAGTTTCTAAAAAGTTGGAAGGGGAGCTGTGATTCAAGTGGTGGAGCACCAGCCTTGAGTGAAAAAGCTAAGGGACAGTTTTCAGCCCCTGACTTCAAGCCCAAGTGTATACACACATACACACCCTCAAAGGACACCACAGCACCACACAGAATCCAGTTGACATGGTTGGGCCAGATGCTCACAACTGTGTTTGTGGCTAGTCCTTCCTTCCACTGCCCTGGGCTTGGGGATTTTTCTAAGGGTAGACAGACTGTGACCATTAGAGAGTCCCCGATCCCCTCCCTCCCAGGTCCTGCTTCTTGGGGCGGGGGTTCTGGGACAGGCCTGCTCTGGCGATCCCCTCCCTCCCAGGTCCTGCTTCTTGGGGCGGGGGTTCTGGGACAGGCCTGCCTGGCTTCCAGTGTCCCTGCCCAGACTCAGCAACTTGCTACCCACTTCCCTCCCCTGCATAGGTTTTGGTTCTTTAAGTTCCTGGTCCTCGTGGGCATCGCCGTGGGTGCCTTCTACATACCAGATGGCTCCTTCTCGAAGAGTAGGTGGCAAGGGGGAGCATGGAGGGACAGCGGGGGGATGGGACTGGGGTCTGGAGAAAAGGGGGCTGCTCTACCCTGAACCCCTGACCTAGGTACAGTTCTGGTCTTTGACCTTTCCACTGGAGACAGCACCTCAAGCCTGGAGGCCACTCAGGAGTTTGGGGAGCCGCTTTGGCGTCCACCTCTGCTCTACCACACTGCCTGCATCTCAGGGTGGCATGGGTAGAATGTGTATAGAATGTAGAATGCATATACATGGAGAGGGCAGAATGGCTGCCGCCCCATGGCCACACCCCTGCTTACCCCTTCCCTCCTCTCTCCCAGTCTGGTTCTACTTTGGCGTTGTGGGCTCCTTCCTCTTCATCCTCATCCAGCTCATCCTGTTGGTCGACTTTGCCCACTCCTGGAACCAGCGGTGGCTGGGCAAGGCCGAGGAGTGCGACTCCCGTGGCTGGTACGCAGGTCAGTGCCGTCCGCTCCACACAGGGCCTCGAGCTGGGGGGGGAGTGGGCGGAGCATAGCCCATCAGTGAGATCCCCTTGGTGGTGTCTGGGCAGACTTCATGTGCACCTGGTGGTTGGAGCTCCAAGGGCAGAGTGAGTCCCCAGTTCTTGCGAGTGAACTCAGCCACCAGACTCAACCCGGGGGCTGCTCTACCTCCTCCACCTCTGGACAGCCCCTCCCCACCTCTCCCTACCCCAGCAGCCTCATCCACCTTTCCCAGCACTGTTTTGAATGCATTGCTCTTAGTTTTTAGTTTGTTATTTCATATTATTATTTTGATGCCAGCACAGGGCTTGAAGTCCTTGCACTCTTGCTTTATTCACATGCACGCGTGCATGTGTAGGCATGTGTGTGTGCACACATACACATGCATGCATGCATGTGCCGGTCTTGGGGCTTGAACTCAGGGCCTGCATGATGTCCCTGAGCTTCTGTGAGCAAGGCTAGTACTCTACTACTTGAGGCACAGCTCTACTTTCTGCTTTCTAGGGTACTTAATTGAGCTAAGTGTCTCACAGACTTTCCTGCCTGGGCTGCCTTTAAACTGTGATCTTCAGATCTCAGCCTTCTGAGTAGCTAGGATTACAGGCATGAGCCACTGTGCCTGGCTCTTGCTTGTTTGCTTGTCTGTTTGTTTTTTAAAACTCAAGGCTGGCACTCTTCCATGTGAGCCACACTTGCACTTCCAGCTTTTCTCTAGTTAATTGGAAATAAGCATCTCAGTAGACTTTCCTGCCTAGGCTGGCCTCAAACCAAGACCTTCAGATCTCAGCCTCCTGAGTAGCTAAGATTAGAGAGGTGAGCTTCAGGACCAGGTCGTGGGGTGCCCAGTAAATGCGTGGATTTTCTGATGACAGGCACTTGTTGAATTAGCTTGGGTAAAAATGTGGCTTCAGATGGGGAAACAGGCTTGAGGTGGGGTGGCACTGCCTGGCACCCACCTCTTGGGGCAGGAGCTCCTGCGCTTCCTGCCTCCTGAGGCCACTGCTTGCTGCCTTCTGCCCAGGCCTCTTCTTCTTCACCTTCCTCTTCTATGCACTCTCTGTCGCGGCCATTGCCCTAATGTTCATCTACTACACGAAGCCGGGAACCTGCCATGAGGGCAAGATCTTTGTCAGCCTCAACCTCACCTTCTGCGTCTGTGCCTCCATCATCGCTGTACTGCCCAAGGTCCAGGTGAGCCTGCCTGTAGCCCCAGCCCCTTGGGGAGTGGGACTGCCCCTAGGATCTTGGGTTCTGTGGCATTGGGAGCTGTCAGAGAGCTCCTGGTCCCCAGGAGGTGGTGATAATACACCGTGTCTCGACCCAGAACATCCAAGACTCTGCCCGTGTCCCAGAGGAATCTTCTAAAAGTACCTCTGGATTACATTGAACATCCAGGCCTACTTCCCGGTTTGTATCTCAGCATGCCAGGGTGTTCACAGTTGGCATACTGGTCTTTAGGGGATCTCTGGCAGAAAGACTTTTTCTCAGAGCTTCTATTCCCCAGTGAGAAAGTCGAGGCCCAGAGAGGGTGATGCTTTGTCCCAGGCCACACAGCAATCAAGAGTTCATTCATCAAAACACTTCCTGAGCACCTATGGTGTGCCAGGCCCTATTCTAAGTGTGGAGATAATAGCTGTGAGGAAGGTGGCCATAAGTAGCATCTGTCATGTATGTCACATGATCCACATCATCATCTTCCCCCTTCACAGAGGGGCAAACAGCGCCTGCTGGGCGCTGGTGGCTCGCGCCTGTAATTGTAACTACTCAAGAGGCTGAAATCTGATCATCGCAATTCAAAGCCCACCCTAGCAGGAAAGTCCATGAGAATTTTAGCTCCAATTAACCACCGAAAACCAGAAATGGAGCGGTGGCTCAACATGGTAGAGTGCTAGCCTTGAGCAAAAAAGCCCTCAGGGACAGTGCCCAGGCCCCACAACTGAGACACACAATAAAAGTACAGACTTGAACCAGGTGCCAGTTGCTCATGCCTATAATCCTAGCTACTTAGAAGACTGGGAATCAAAAATCCTGATTCCAAGTCAGCCTGGGCAGGAAAGTCTATGCAACTCTTCTCTCCAATCAACCGCCAAATTTGAGAAGTGGAGCTGTAACTCAAGTAGTAAAGTGCCAGACTCGAGCAAAAAGGTTCTGGGACAGTGCCCAGACCCTGAGTTCAAGCCCTAGTACTACCCCTCCTCTTAAAAAGTGCAGACTTAGCCAAGGTCACCCAGCTAGTAAATGGTGGAGGTAGGACTCCAACCCAGGCAGGCTACTTCTAGAGCCTGCAGTTTCCACTCATTTCCTCCTCCTCCTCCTCTTCTTCCTCCTCCTCTTCCTCCTCCTCCTCCTCCCCCTTCCCCTCCCCCTCCTCCTCCTCCTCCCCCTCCTCCTCCTCCTCCCCCTCCCACTCCCCCCCCCCCTCCTCCTCTTCATCTTTTTGTTGGTTGTGTGGCTTGAACTAGGGGCCTTAACACTGTCCCTGAACTCTTTTCACTCAAGGCTCTAGCCCTCTACCACTTTGAGCCACAGTTTTCTGGTGGTTAATTGGCGATTGTGAATCTCATGGACTTTCCTGCCTGGGCTGTCTTTGAACCACGATCCTCAGATCTCAGCCTCCTGAGTAGCTAGGATTACAGGCCTGAGCCACCGGTGCCGGCTCCATTCATATTTTCAAGTGTGTGTGTATAGTGATTGAAAGGACAGGCAATAAGAGATGAGGCCACAGAGATGAGGCAAGTCCAGAGGCTAGATGCTGGGAGTATGGCTAGAAGGTAGGGGCCGGTGGGGGTCTCCTCAGAAGTCCTTCATCTACCAAGGAGGTATCGCCTATGTGGAGATTGGGGAACAAATGTGTCAAGAAGGGGCAAAGCAAGTGCAAAGGCCCTGAGGTAGGCAAGGGTTCTGCAAGTTATGTCCACAGGGGAGGCCGCAGTGGTTGGAGTATGGCCTGGTGGCAGATCGGAGGTGGAGGTAAAGACAGAACAAACTGAAAGGCTGCACCTTTTCAATGCTGCCCTTGAAGGGTTTGCTGGAGGGCAGGTGGGAGGTAGTCTGTAATCTGAGGGCTGAGGAGAGACAGAGGGTGTGGGTGGGGAGGGGTGGGGCGGGGTTGGCTGGAGGGGGAGGGCTCTGGGTGGGGCCAGGGTCTCACCAGGGAACATCTCTCACCAGGAGGCCCAGCCCAACTCAGGTCTGCTGCAGGCCTCCGTTGTCACCCTGTACACTACGTTTGTCACCTGGTCAGCCCTGTCCAACGTCCCTGGTGAGTATGGACCTAGGCTTAAGGAGGCCTAGCCTGCTGAGGGCTGGGGACCCTCCACAGGTGGCAGGGATGTCCCTGTTCAGCCCATCTCAGACTCAGTCCTGGGAGGGGGGTGGGGTGGGGGGTCATCTGCTCCTGGAGCTGTCTGTCCATCATCCGTAGGGCTCTACAGCCCTGGCTGGCACAGGCTGAGGGAAACTGTGCTCCTTCCCCTAGACCAGAAGTGCAACCCTCACCTGCCGGCCCCCCAGAGCAACAATTCGCTCCCCGAAGGCCCTGCGTACTACGAGACCCAATGGTGGGACGCCCCGAGCATCGTGGGCCTGGTCATCTTCACCCTGTGCACGCTGTTCATCGGGTACAGTGGGCTCTGGGCTCCGGGGAGGGAAGGACAAGGAGCTGGGACTCCTGACTGGACAGTGCCCTCGGCAGCCAGCCACTGCCTTGTGCTGGGGGGAAAGGGAGTCCCTCCAACGCACAGTTTGGTGGGGGGGGGGGCTGCTTCCTGACCTGAGGTCCCTTTGGTCCCTTCCTGAGCACTGGGCCTTCTGGTCTCCAGCTCCAGTGCAGGCTGCTTGGACTGAGGCTTCTGGGTCCAAGCTTTGTTTGTCACCTGCTGGGTGGCCTTGGGTAAGTGGCTTCACCTTTCTGTACCTCCATTTGTTTCTCAGTAAAAGCGGCGGGATAGCTTCCGTGTTGGTGGGGGTGGCTATGGCTCCGTGGCCTCCCTGAGCGAGGGCGGCTTGTGTTGAAGATCACACAGTGGCTTTTCAGTGGGGCGTCTGAGCAATACTCATTGCTGTAGACTTGAGCTGGACCTGCCTGTCCCTTTAGTGTGTGTGTTGGGGAGGGCTTGGGCTTGAACTCAGGAAAGAAAGGGAAGGGAACTCTCCACCTGAGCCATGCCTCCAGCCCTTTCTGCTATATTTACTTTTTGGGTTGGGTCTCACATTTCTGCCTGGGCCAGCCTGGACCAGAATTCTTCTGTGTTCACTTTCCCTTTAGCTAGGATGACAAGTACATGCCACCATGGCCAGATATTGGTTGAGATGGGGTTTGGCTAACATTCCTGGGCTTGTACTCTTGTTCAAGTCACGTGATTTCTCAGCATGTCAGTTTCCTTAACTCTAGAGATAAAAATAGTTCCTACCTCACTGAATTATAGGGGCAGGATGAGTTACTGTGTCTGAAGCTCTTGGAGAGGGATTTGGCAAATACTAGGTGCTAAATAAGTGTTAGGTATAATCGCAGCTCTAAGTGAACATTTGCACAGTTCGTGGAAGTAAGGGCTGCTTCACAGGAGCCGCTGGACCTTGATATCTGGAACAGTTCTTGCTCACTCTGGTCCCCGAGGCCAGCAGTCATCCATCCCCACCCTTGTGTCTTTCCTGGGCCCTGAGTGGGGTAGGGGTGAGGGAGAAGCTATCCGCTGCTGCAGAAGTGGTGCCTCACCTGGACCAGGCCACCAGCCTCCTGGGCCAGAGTGTTCTGGGAATGTTCCACAATTTGTTTTACTTTGACCTTGTTCAGAATGTTTCTCCAAGTCCCAGCTGGGCAGTTCATGAACAGCTCTCGTCTTCCTCACATGTGATTCCTTTTCAACCTGGGAGGCACCCAATTACTTCCACTTTACTGAAGGGGAAAATGGGGCCCAGAGGAACGGCTGTGAACTGAACACTCAGTGCCCTGTCGGGACATCCAATTCCGTCTCTCCTTCCTCCCTTCCTCCCTCCCTCCCTCCCTCCCTTCCTCCCTTCCTTCCTTCCTTCCTCCCTCCTTCCCTCTTTCCCTCCCTCCCTCCCTCCTTCCTTCCTTCCTTCCTTCCTTCCTTCCTTCCTTCCTTCCTTCCTTCCTTCCTTCCTTCCTCCCTCCCTTCCTCCCTCCCTCCCTTCCTTCCTCCCTCCTTCCCTCTCTCCCTCCCTCCCTTCCTCCTTTCCTTCCTTCCTTCCTTCCTTCCTTCCTCCCTCCCTCCCTCCCTTCCTTCCTTCCTCCTTCCCTCTCTCCCTCCCTCCCTCCCTCCTTCCTTCCTTCCTTCCTTCCCTCCCTCTCTCTTTCCCTTCTTGTGGTACTGGGAATTGAACTCAGGGCCTTGTACTCCCTAGGCAGATGCACTTCAGCCATACCCCAGACCTTTTTGGTTTCGTTAGCTTTTTTTGTTGTTGTTGGTCATGGGTCTTGAACTCTGGGCCTGGGCTGTCCCTCAGCTCTTCAGCTCAAGGTGAGCGCTCTACCACTTGAGCCACAGCTTCACTTCCAGTTTTCTAGTGGTTAATTGGAGATAAGAGTCTCATGGACTTTTCCTGCCCTGGCTGGCTTTGAGCTGCAATCCTTAGATCTCAGCCTCCCTGAATAGCATGAGCCACAGGTGTGAGCTACTGGCGCCCGGTGTTTTCATTAGCTTTTGAACAGAATCTCACACTTTTGCCCAGGCTGCCTGGAACACAATCCTCCTATTTGTTTTTCCTGTACAGCTGAAATGACAAGTACTCACTACCATGCTCAGTGACTGATTGAGATAGAGTCTTACTAACATTTTGCCTGGACAAATCTAGAACAGTGACTGATTGAGATAGAGTCTTACTAACACTTTGCCTGAACAAGTCTAGAACCTCCTAATCTCTGGCTCCCAAGTAACAGGGATTGTAGCCATGACCCATCATATCCAATCTGCTCACCTTTTCAAAATACATGTTGGGCTTTCTACAATTCTGTCTATCTCAGATTATTAACTTCTGTTTTTAAACATCAAGACCTTGTCATAGAAAAATGATGAACAATCATCGTTATGATGACTATTGTATTCTAGTGTCAGTATGACGTACTCAGCTCATGTTTGTGAGAGAGGCAGACCAAGAATGATGATGGTCATAGCGACGGTTTATTTAGCTAATACATTGTCCTGGGCATAACCAGAGTCTCTATATCATTGTTCTAATTAATCTTCCCCCAAACCCTAGGAGCGATTTTAGAGATGGTGGAGCAGAGGCTTACAGAGGTACGCCTTGCTGACGATCACCACAGGGAATTGGGGTAGGGTTGAGAGTCAAAATGGTTTGACCACTAGGACTGGCCCCTGCGGTTCTGACACCATCTGCGGCCAGGGCCATGGCTCACAGGGTCACCTGCTGCTGTCCCTCTGGCCTCCTTGGCAGCAGTAGCTGTGACCCCCGCCCTCCTCCCCCCACAGCCTGCGCTCGTCCGACCACCGGCAGGTGAACAGCCTGATGCAGACAGAGGAGTGTCCGGAGGCCACACAGCAGCAGCAGCAGCAGGTGGTGGCCTGCAAGGGCCAAGCCTTTGACAATGAGCAGGATGGTGTCACCTACAGCTACTCCTTCTTCCACTTCTGCCTGGTGCTGGCCTCCCTGCACGTCATGATGACGCTCACCAACTGGTACAGGTGCGGCAGCCCCGAGGGCAGGCGGGTCGGCGGGGAGCCTGCTGCCTGTCTCCTTTTCTCCAGCCCCTCCCCCATGATCCGGTGCTTGCCAAAGGCCTGGCAGTGGGCTCTGTCTTAGACCACTACAGAGCCTACCCCTGCCCTGCCTCAGTTTCCTGGCTGTGGCTCAGATCCACTGAGGGATCCCAGGGTCAGAGTTGGGATTCATGGTTGGAGGGTTAGGGTGTGGTGGTCACGATCCTGGCATCAAGGCTGGAAGCCATGAGGCCTGGGATGGAGGGGGTGTCATGTAAAGCCTCAGCTTGTGTGGTTCCTCTGGGGTATTAGATGGCAATAGTTTAGCATGTGTGTGTGCATGTGTCTGTGTGTGTGCACCCAAGTACACACACACACACACACACACACACACACACACACACACAGAGGCTGGGCTGTTTGGTTAAAAATAGGGGTTGGGAGGCTTAGAACCAGTACAGAAGTTGTAGGATAAAGGAGCTAAGATGAAGGGAGTGGTATCAAGTCAGGGGTCAGGCTGGGTTATGGGATCAAAGATCCAAAGTTGAAGTTACAGGTCAGGACTAACGTCAGGAGCTCCAGGGCCCCAGGATTAAGGTCTAGACGAGGTCAAAGAATTAGAATCACAAGGTTAGAGACTAGGAGTCAGGCCACTTTTGAGATTTAGAACTACTGACAAGGTGGTGATTGAAGTTGAGCACTCATGATTCACTTTTGTAATCCTAGCTACTCAGGAGTCTGGGATTTAGAGGATCCAAGTTCGAAGCCAGCTGGGACAGAAAAGTCCTTGAGACTTTATTTCAAATTAACCAGGGAAAAGCAGAGCTGGAAGTAAGGCTCAAGTGAGCAAAAGCAAGTTCCTGAGTTCAAACCTAGTATGGAAGGAAGGGAAGGGATAAGCAAAGGGAAGGGATAAGGGAAGGGAAGGGAAGGGAAGGGAAAAGGAAAGGGAAGGAGTTAGGATTCCAGGTCAGAATAAGCTCTGTGGTACTGGCCAAGGGCTGTGTGCAGGGTTACTAGGCCCAGTTTGTTAGCAGTGTCAGAGACGGAGACTTAGAGTTACTGACCTCAGGGGTCACCCTGAGTCACAAGGTTAGGAAACAGAATGGAGCTTAGGATGGAGGCCAAGCTGACAAGACAGATGATGTGTTCCAGCCCCAGTGAGACTCGAAAGATGATCAGCACATGGACGGCCGTGTGGGTGAAGATCTGTGCCAGCTGGGCAGGGCTGTGCCTCTACCTGTGGACTCTGGTGGCCCCGCTGCTCCTGCCCAACCGAGACTTCAGCTGAGCAGTACCCTGCGCCTCCCGCACAGCGGCCACCAGCCCACCCCCCTCCCCAGGTCAGCCAAGCTGAGCCCCCGTCCTCATCCAAGAAGAGCCCGGAGCTGGGCACCTTCATTCTTAGTGCCTTAGGGTGTCAGCAGCAGCTCATACCAGAGCCCCAACCTCTGCCACCCCCCAACCACAAGCTGCCTCTTCCTTCCCTGCCTCTGATCACCCACACAAGAGCCCCCTTATCTCAGTGTCCTGAGTAGGGACCAAAGAGATAACTGGTCAGAGCTACTCAGAGGACAGCAACCATATACAAGGGTCCCTGGCACTGAGGCAGGGCCTTTGTGGCTCTGGCCCCTTCCTGGACCATGTGCCTTACTGACTCTCTAAGACTCTGCCCAATAGACAAACCTGTCTGTATGCTTTCCCATGTCCTGTACCCTCAGCCTTGCTCCTGCAGCCGTGGAGGGGGGTGAGGGGAGCGGAAGGTCGGGGTTGGGGCCAATGCCTGGCCTGGCCTTGAGTCCTGGACAGCCTGGGAAGTGGGTGCCAGTGGAAAAGGAGGAGCAGAGATTCAAAGCCAGCCTGGGCAGGAAACCCTGTGAGACTCTTATCTCCAATAAACTACTTAAACAAGCCTGAATTGGTGCTGTGGCTCAAGTAGAGTGCTTGCCTTGAGCACAAGAAGCTCAGGGGCAGCAGAGGGCTGTCAGAAACTCAGAGCCCAGAGTTCAAGCCCCAAGACTGGCAAAAAAAAAAAAAAGCGAGAGCTGACTCCAAGCCCCAGTACTGGTGTGTATATGCATGTGTGCATGCACACTCACACGCAGAGTCTGGCTTCTCACCCAAGCTACACACACACACACACACACACACACTCACACGCAGAGTCTGGCTTCTCACCCAGTCCCAGGGGAAGGACCTTGTCACCTTTCTCCATCATGCTGCTAGGGTTGCTGGCCTCTGTCTTGAGTGAAGTACCATGGGAGAATACAGAGGGGCCTGGGGAGGATCACGTGCTCCTGAGCCACCAAGCTTGCCTGACTCCACCACATGGGGGAGGTTCCAGGCTGGCTCCTCTGGTCGCTGCAGGGGAGCGGGGCCACCTGCTCCGGGGCAGTTGTGAAGAGCACAGGGAAGCCTGTACAGTGACTGGAAAGTGAGCTCCCAGCACCGGCCCAGAGGCGTGGTTGCCCACCCTGGGCCCCCAGAACTGTGCTGTCACTGTGGTAACATTCGATAGGTGTGTGTGGATGATCAGTAGGCGCTGTGTGTGTGTGTGTGGCGGGGCAGGTTGGGCACTGGGGCTGGCTGGGGATAGGATTCCATGACCAAGGAGGCACCTGATAGGGCTGATAAGATGGATGCCCTGGAGGCTGCACAGGAGCCAGACTGGCCATGAGGAGGGAGGGCCCAGCCCGTGAGGACAAGGGGTCACTGAGATATGTGCTTGGCGGGGGTTCGGAGAGGGTGGGGTGAGCTGGGAGAGGAACAGACGCAATCCTGACGGTTCTGTGGGGACCCACAGGGCATGCTGGTGACACACAGTCCATTTCCCTGGTGGAGGTGGGGTGGTGGGGGCAGGGTGGATGGGCGGGGTCTGGCTGAGGGGCTGGCTTCCCCCTCATTCTTGTACCTCTCAGCTAAGGAGACCCCTCTCCATGGGGCCTGTCTACCCTTCTCCCCCATGGCACATTTCATTTCCTTCCTTCTCTCCTTTGGAGGAAAATTCCAGGGCTCTGTGTGTGTGTGTATACTGGAGCTTTAACTCAGGGCTTTTTCACTCAAGGCTGGCTCTCTACCACTTGTAGGATCGCAGTTCAAAGCCAGCCTGGTCAGGAAAGTCTGTGAGACTCATCTCCAATAAACGACTCAGAAAACTGGAAATGGTGCTGTGGCTCAGGTGGTAGAGCACTAGCCTTGTGCTGAAGAGCTGAGAGACAGTGCCCAGGCCCAGAGTTCAAGCCCCATGACCCCCCCCCCCCCCGCCATGATTGTTATTATAAAGGTGATGTATGGAGGGGTTGCATTACATAAATCAGTGATTTGGGGGGGGCAATGTCACCCCTTCTGCTTAATTTTTTTAAAATTATTATAAAGGCGAAGTATAGAGAAGTTAGAGTTATATATGTCAAGTAATGAGTAATTTCTTTTTGGACAATGTCACCTTCAGGCTTTTTACCAGTTACCTGGGGATCACAGTCCCAAGGAATTCCCTGCCCAGGTTGGCTTTAACCCTTGATCCTTAGATCTCAGCCTCCTGAGTACCTAGAATTGCAGGTCTGAGCCACCTGCACCGGCTACCAGTGTGCTTCTTCAGATGACCTTTTTTTGTTTTTTGGTCGGTCTGTGGCTTGAACTCTGGGCCTGGGCGCTGTCCCTCAGCTCTTCAGCTCAAGGTGAGCGCTCTACCACTTGAGCTACAGCGCCACTTCTGGTTTTCTGGTGGTTTATTGGAGATTGGAGTCTCACAGTCTTTCCTGCCCGGTCTGGCTTTGAACCGAGATCCTCAGATCTCAGCCTCCTGAGAAGCTAGGATTACAGGCATGAGCCACCAGCGCCCGGCTAGCTGACCTTTTTCATGCATTTGTATGACTGATTCTGTTGCTCATGTACACCAAAAGGCCCTGAGTGTGAGTTATGTTCCAGGGCTGGGTTAGGGTAGATCTGCCGGGACAGGCAGGAGACAGGGGCAAACTAAGAGCCCAGCATGGGGGTCTCCACCTCTGCAAGCTGCCTAATCCCCGTGTGCAGGTTCTTTCTCTGTCTCCACCCTCCTACTTCCCTCCAGTGAGTTTCTGTCACACTCAAGCCCTAGCTGACACTGCCCCAGGGCTGCAAAGCCTGGTCTGTGTCTCTCTTCTGTCACCCAGAAGTTGGCTTCCTCATGTCCTCTCCCCTTCTTCCCTGTCTCCCATCATTCCTCTTGTCTTCATGCTCTCTTGCTTTACCCCTCTCCCCTCACATCCTCTCTGTCACCTCCCCCGAGTCCTCTGGAGGAGGACTCTTCTGTCTGCCAGCCCCTGACAGCCTGGCCTGCCCTGCTGGACTTGGAGGGGTGAGAGAGCTTTCCTTGACTGTACCTGTCTCTGGGTACTTATGCCCTGTGCCCAGGCCTGGGCTGGTGTGGCTGAAGGACCAATGGCAGTCCAAGTCCTGCATGCCTGCCTGGAGCATCTTTGTGCACAGGTTTGTAGAGTGATAGCTGGGTAGAGAGAACAAAAAGCCTATGGATCAGGTGGGGAAATGGATGCAGGGTGTGTATCAAGAAGAGCTTTGACTGGGCACTGGTGGCTCATGTCCGTAATCCTAGCTACTCAGGAGGCTGAGATCTAAGGTTTAGAGCCATCCCAGGGAAGGAAAGGCTGAGATACTCTTATCTCCAATTAACCACCAGAAAACTGGAAGTGGTGCTATGGCTCACGTGGTAGAGCTCTTGCCTTGAGTGCAAAAACTCAGGCAGTGCCCAGGCTCTGAGTTCAAACCCCACAACCTGTGGGTGGGGGAAGGAGCTCTGGACTCTGCCAGTTCTATCTGCCTTCACCTTAGGTAATCAGTCAGTTGCTCTCTCTATGGATGAGCTGCAGTTTCCGTAAAAAGGTAACAGTAGCTCTTTGGTAAACTATAAAGCACTATGCACTGACGCGCAGACATTGTGTGTGACAAGCAGACAAATGTAATCTCTCTCCCTTTCCTGCCTCCACCACAAGGTGGAAAAGAACCTGTGGTCACTCTGCAGCTTCCCTGAGAATGGTAAGTGGGCACCTGACAGCATTCGGCCTCATTGCATCTAAGAGGAACTACAAAGAGGTATTTCTAGAAACTATCATCTTTCTTATTACAAGACACTGCTGCTTCTCCCTTTTCCTATTTTAACACAGAACAATGCCTGGAGCTGCAGCATTTCCCTTGGGGACAATGAGGCAACAAACCTGAGGATGAGAAATCAACATGGGGATGGTGGTTCACAGTGCTGCTGTGTTTGCTTCTAGACTTGTGTTAGGTGAAAAAAGTAAATAAATAATAACAAAATCAAGGGGCTGGGAAGGTGGCTCAGTAGTAGAGCGCTTGCCTTGCATGCATGAGGCCCTGGGTTCGATTCCTCAGCACCCACATAAGCAAAAAGAAAAAAGCCGGAAGTGGCACTGTGGCTCAAGTGGTAGAGTGCTAGCCTTGAGCTGAAGAGCTGAGGGACAGCGCCCAGGCCCAGAGTTCAGGCTCCACGACTGGACCCCCCCCCCAAAAAATAACAAAATCAAGTGGGGTGCTGGTGGCTTACGCCTGTAATCCTAACTACTCAGGAGGCTGAGATCTGAGGATTGCAGTTCAAAGCCAGCTGGGCAAGAAAGTCCTTAAGACTCTTACCCAATTAACCACCAGAAAACTGGAAGTAACACTGTGGCTCAAAGTGGTAGAGTGTTAGCTTTGAGCAAAAATTGCTCATGGACGGCTCCCAGGCTCTGAGTTAAAGCCCCATGACAAAACAAAACAAAATACCCAATGAATTTAATACATTCACTAGGTATTAAGCTCCTTGCAGCTGAATGCATTTTTAACTGAAGTGGCCATAATTTTAGTGATAATAAAACTTTATTGAGGAGAAGCTTGTCTCTTGCTCAGGATTATTGAATGGCAGTAGTGTAACATGCACACAAACCCATGGCTAGGTGTATGTTCATGCATCATATGTGCTCATATAACATACATGCATGATTACAAACGGGGGATTTGACAAGATCATTTTTTGAGGAAGTTTCTGGGCCCCTTCACCTTGGAGGAGGTTTGCAGGCATTCCTGTGACATAGACTTCCTCTCCCACTTTGGCTTCCCCAGTGCTGCGGGGGGGGGGTGGGGGGGTGGGGATGTGGGAGAGATGGAGAGGGTTTGTGGGGGGGTGACTGTTGTGTATTGATGGGGTGGCTGGGAGAGGAGAGCAGAGCTGACAGAAGTTGATTAAAAGACCGGGGTGGGGGCGGGAGGGGCGCAGGCAGAGAGGTTGTTCAGTCTCAGGTCCCAAAGTTGCCCTCAGTGGCTGCAGAAGAGGTCAAGGGCTAGTTCTCTGAGCAAGGGTGGATTACCTGCCCTTGAGCTGGACAGCAAGCATGTCTTCAGGGGGCTGGAAACATTTTCCAGCCTGCCTAAGGTGTCCTGGACTCCTGGTGGCCCAGGAGCCTGTGATCTGCATGGGCTGTGGCAGTGGGTATTTTGGTAGTGAGCACCAGGCTTGGTACCTAAGGAGTGCTCATTCATTCTGCCCTCCTCCTCATTGCTACGGAGAAGCTCAGACTGAAGCACTGTCCCTGTGGGGGCTGCATTGTGCCAGGGAGCATGATGAATCACGGCTGGGGGTCAATTTGCCACCAGCTTGGTGGGATGGGCTCTTCACAGGAAGAGAGCTGGGGTGGAGCAAGTGAACAG